GGCTGCTTGGGAACAGAATGTGTCTGTGTTTGGGAGAGGAGGTACTTGCAGCTCTAGCTCTCCCCCTACCCCATCTTCCTCCCCTGCCAGAAGACCTGGCACCTGCCTTTCCATCATGCTTCATATTGATCTTTCCTGTGCTGTGAAAAGTCTGTGTGTGTGTGTGTGGGAATCCTTTTGTATTGTGCATTTTATTTCTCTGTTGCATGCATGCACTGGTCTCTTCTTTGATTGTTTGCTTCAGTGTTAAGAGTGATGTAAAAATTGTGTGCTGTCTGTCTGTCTTCTCCTGATTTTTATCTGATTTTTCTCTATGTCTGATTTTTCCCTTTATAGTTTCTTTCTGTTTCTGTGTATTTGTGTGTCTGTGTGTGTGCATGCGTGCAAGCAATCTGTGCCTCCTTGCACAGTGATGGATCACACTAGCAGGGAAAACACAGCTTTCTTTTTTCAGTTTCCAAAAAAAAAAGAGCAAATATAAATTCAAAGAAATTAATTGAATAGTATTACTAATAGTAATTGAATAGCTAAGCTAAGATAAGCTAAATCCTACCCAATCTTTTGTAACAAGAAAAAGGAGCAGGCAAGTTCAACTACTACTGAGCCAGAGCAAGCTGCAATGCCTCAGTCTGAGTGTTCCTTTCTCACACAGTTCCTGACAGGGAACAAGCTGGAAAAGGTACAGAATGCCTCCAAGCAGAAGCTTTTATGCTGTTTCCAGTCCCACCCCACAGATGCTGTCATTGGAAAGGCAGCCAGGGAGAAATCCTTCTCACTGGCCACCTACAGATGTCAGTCTTCCCCCCTGCTCCCCCTTCCCCCCTTCCACTCTCCCTCCCTTCCCCGCTCCTCCTCCCTCTTCTAACTCTCAGTTAAGCTGTCCGAAGCATCCAAAGCATCTGAAGTACTTTGGGCGCTCCAAACTGCTTCAGATAGCTTAACTGAGCCCGTGCTTCAATCTGGACATGCCGTTTCAGATGCCGAAGCGTCCGAAGTGGCACTGGATCCGAAGTGCTATCTGAAGATTCGCAGAGCCCTACTAGTTGGGGATGGTCCTGGTTTGAGCAGGTGGGTGGATTAGATGACTTGAAGTCCCTTCCAACCCTAATTTTCTACAATGCTATGATATGATTCTATGAACTCTCCCAGTCTCCACCCAGTCAAATCCTAACTTCTGAATTCTTTAGTATATAACCTAAATAACATTCTTTCAGTGCAGTGGTTTTTATGTAATGAATAAACCAAATGAAAATTTCAGTTCAGAAAGAGGGAAATTTTATGTGCAAAGGTTGTCAGGGGTGTGTTAAGAATATTGCTGTAATTTGGGTGCCACAGAGGTAGGAGCTTAGCAGGGATTTTAAAATGGTAAAAACAAAAAAGATGGCACCATTCTAACTTTTAATATTGGGAGCAGACCACCAAGAATCCAAAGGAGGACATAACTCAGTAGTCTATTCAGTCCTTCACATAGGTGGTACTTATCTACAACCTGTTGTCAAGCTGATAAATACCTCAGATGTTTAAATGAATGATATTTCTAAGATTCATAAAATTCCTGTAGTAAAATTCTACATTTATTTTCCATCTTGCCATGTGTCTCAGACTGCATAGAGACATAAAGGTAGGTTATCGGGAGGTTAGATCAAGTTAAAAATGGCCACCTGATCTAACTTATTTCACCCAGGTGCAGACCTTGCAGTAGTTAGTGAATCTAAGTACAGACTTGTAGCAGGGAGTTGAGTCTTGGCCAAGCTATGCTTGCCTTCAGTAACAAGCCAGTACCGGAAGTCCAGCAGCAGGGAACCATTGTCATAGGCATGGGCCCTTTAAAGCCAGAATTTTTCAGTTTTGGGGGCGGGGGGGGGGGGGGGGGGGGCTGCAGGTTCCCACCCTGCTGCCCTCCCACAGGACCACCACAGCCCAGCGGGAGTGATGCGGCACTGCAGGGAACATGGGAGAAGCTGCTTGCCATTGTGAGCTCCGTTGCTGCCCTAGCGAGGCGTCCCCTGCGCATGCAGCAGCGGCAGCAGCGCGGAGTTGTGCCCCTCACTGCTGCTGTTGTGCATGCAGGGGGGCGTTACCAGAGCAGCACGGAGCTTGCAGCAGCAATGAGCTGCCCTGTGTGGCTCCAGTGTTTCCTGTAGTACCAGGTTGGAGGCCCTGGGGGAGGGCAGCGGGGCAGAAGCCCATGCCCACTCACACCCTGCGCACAGATCTGGGGGGCACTGGTGGCCACCACCCAGGAGTGTGCACAATGGCAGGGAGCTACACCCCGAATCCTGAGCCTGCAGCAGGCGGGAGGAACTGGGCTCTACTTCGTTGTAGCAGCTGCTGCCTCCTACCAGGGGCAGGGGACTGTGGACCTGGGTGCCTGGCCCCATAGTCCTGGCAACTGGGGGCCCAGGACTAGTGGAGTTTAGTTGACAAAAGCAATTAACCTGATTAAACACTTTGTATGATTCACCACCCTTAGTCCAGAGTCTGCAAAGTGGCCAGCAACCACGTCGGGAACACAAAGTACCAGTTGACTGGCATCTGCTTGAGAATTTGTTGGAATGGCATCAGGACCAGGGGCCACTCCATCTCCAACAGCAGGGGCAGAAGCTTGGGCTTGGTCTCAAAGATGTTGCGAAACATGCATACAGAGACAACAAACTGAGGTATGTTGCTCTCAGTAGCATCCATGTGTGTCCTCAGGTACCTCCAGTGAGCCTCAAGACATTTCACAGCCATCCTGCTAAGCTTGCAGCTGAACAGTTCCTTCCAGGCATGTTGGGCTCCAGTGAGCAGCTTCATCAGCCAGGGGTTCAGCGAGTAGGCAGAGTCCTCAATCATTCCTCCACTGGGATGTCACGCAGACCAAGGCAAAACTCTCTCCTCTCCATTTATTCAGGGGGGAGAAAGACCCTAAATATCCTGGCGTTGTGCACCTTGCCTAACCAGCTGGCCTTTACATGTGTGAACCAGCCACAGTAAACAGCCTGAAATTTAATCAAGAAGTAGCCTTTCTGATTAATGGATTCCCAGCCACAGTATACAAGGGAAAGGATAGCCATGTGTTTGCTATTGATGGCCCCAACGCCAGTAGGGAACACCAGGCTGGTAAAATTATGCACAACATCCTGTGCGTCAACAAGGCATATGATGCGTAGAGCCATCATCTGCTGGATTGTGGGACACACCTCCCACTACCTCTACAGTCATCAACTTGGCCACGCCAAAATGGTTTGCCGTGGACCACATGCTACCACACAAAGATGACAATGAGCTTCTTCATGATTTAGGGTAACCCCTCATCACTGTTGGTCGCTGCTGTATGCATGAGGCAAGCTCAGCACAGTTCTCCATGAAGGTACTCTTGGATAAGCAGAAGTTTATGTGAGACGATTGCTCATCATGACAAGTGGCTATGATGACCCAGTACCACCAGTTGCTATTCATTTCCCTAGTCCAGAAATGCCCCTGAGAAATTTGGAGAAACTCCCCAGTCTGCCTGGTCACAACGTGATTACTTGGGGCCAAAAGATCTTTAGGGCAGCAGTTGCTGTTGCAGACTAGTGTGTGGATATAGCAACAGACCCTTCATTTTGTGGAAATGAGCATGAGATTCTTTTCCAAAAGTACTGTTTCATCATTCTTGGCACCAGTAAAAGGAGCCATGGTGTCCATCAGGGCCCACCAACATCACCTTGCCTCAGGAGTTCATAACTCTAAGCCAATAAGGTCTTTGAGGTTACGACCACCCTTGGATCCATAGCAGCCAATGGTGGTAGAAGGTCCAGGTCATGATCAGTGGTGGTAGGCAGCATATATGCAAGGTAAATTCAGGCAAGTGATGAGGGGCCAGAGCTGTGCAGTGAATCACATGCAGCAAAATCTCACCCACACAAATTTCATCACCCACGCACAATCTGAACAACCAATGGGAGCTTTATCCAACACTGGCAGAGTTCTGGGAACCAACAGACCCTCAACCAGCACCAGGCTTGTTAGTTTTTGTGCTCATTCAGATCACATACTGATGGAAGAGCAGTGGTACATTCAGCTTCTCTTTAAACCTGTTTGGAAGGGCGATGTGTGGCCATGCAAATCCTGTGACTTCTCCATTATGGAAAAAGGAGCAGCACAACCAGTACCATGACAAATGTACTGTCTGCTTATAGTCTAATAGACACAAGATTGAAGTCTATAATAATGCAGGAGGAAAACATTACAGTTGCCATGGTAACTGACTTTGAATTTGTTTTTGATTTATGTAAGACACCAAATTAAACTTAAGAAAAACTACTGTGTAAATGCATAACAGACTTTACAACAACCCTGTACTTTCAAAAACTCTTGCAGAAGAACAGGAAGAGATAAATGCATTAATAAGCCTGAATTTCTGCTCCACTGACAGGCTGGGCAGGACAGAATCCTTTCCACAACAGACAAATCTGCCACCATGTCACTAAGCCCTAGAATCTGCTAAGTCATAGGGCAATCAAGTGCATCTAACTAATCTTAGGAGCTTAAGTAACCCTGTGCAGAGTGAGGAAAACAGACTTGCTGCTGCCTGTATTCTGACACTGTTGTCAGAAGCTGGATCTGATGAATCCAAAAGCACTGTGGTTGTGAGACTCGAGTACAGAAGGACTTGGCAGCTAGATATTGGAAAAGTAAAGAGAATTTTTTAAAGTTATATGCAATGACCTCTTCCTTCATTTTCCTGTTCCAGCCCATGTTACAAGAGTCTTTTTTCCCCATGTGACAGCCTTATTCACTGCCAAAGGAATGAAATAAATGTCTCCTCGCTCAGTTTCACGGGTTTTGGTAGTACCGTTTAGAAACTTTAGAGGAAACAGAAGATGAGGACCTGGATGCAGGTCTTAGCCGGTAGAGGTTTTCACTTTGGCTATAAAATTATTTAATTTGCATTTTTCAATTTAGGCACATTTAGTTTGTTACAAGGACACTACATTTTCAAAGTTTTTAAAACTCAGATTCAAGCAATTACTTACACAGCCATCATGTACATTCAGCGTTGCTTCAAGTTTTAACCTTTGGATAAATTCTCTTCTTCCTGTTGAAGAAAAAAAAATGTTAGACTCATTTTAAACCGTGATGTTAAAAAACATTAGCACTAAGATATTCTGGTGATGGGCACAACATAAGAACCTAAATAGAGCAGAATCTGAATTAAAGTCCCAATACAATTTCCAGGGTTTTAAGTGTTCAAATAGGAAAAAAACCCCACGTTTAGTTGCTGTTCCACTACCTTTAGCACCAGTATAAAAATTCTGAAATTGACATGCTTCAAAACCAGCTGCCTCCTTTGAAATTACAGCACAGAAAAAAAAGAAAATAACCCGTATGTACAAGTAATAAAAAAAATAGCTAGAGTCTCATAACTGACAATTCTAATAAACATAATACAGGTTAAGAGGCATAACTTTTAAACTGGAAAACCACAGCCAATCAGTTTAGGTCTCAAGTCAAAAGTAGAACACAGTCCTAATGCTAAGAACAGGACTAGAAATCAGACTTTTATAGGAACATTTCAGGCAGCTTGAAAAAAATCAGAGAAGCAAAGGAAGAAGACTCTTCTCTGAAGTTCAGGCTTTATGCGGCAGGGTTTTATATGCTGTGTATTAATGTCCTGTATATTCATTTTCATGGTCTCCAGCCAGGCAAAGATTTAGAAAGAAAGGATTAGAAGGGGCTTTGTGTCATCAAGTCCAGTCTCTTGCATCTGAAGATCATCGTTTACCAAAGGAATCCCCCCACATCACTGCTGATGACAGCGATGCAAGAGACTGGACTTGATAGCACAGAAAGACAACTGACTCCTCTGTTTTTTCCTCCCTGCCTGGTGCTCCTGTTCAATCTTCTGCTCTGCTTTCCGCTTCCTCAACCCTGTTTGCTGCTGTGCTGCCTCTCCCCTCCACAGTCTGCTAGGTGTTGCACAGAAAGCCTGCATGTGCCACTAGTGGCACACCTAATGCAGGTTGGCTGCCCCTGTCATAAAACCACAGGTCAGAACAATGTGGCTCTGATCCAACTTGAGCCAGGTGGCTCTTGTGACATGTCAGCAGCAGGGGGGCTTTCTCCACACCTATGCTGGGCAAGAAAGCTGGGAGTTGTGCCCATATGACTATCGCTTCTCCCAGGCCCCAACTCCTTTGCTACAGCGCAGGCACAACTTCACTCATGGGGAGCTGAACGGGGACCCGGTATCTGCAAACTGCACCTCTGGTGGCATACACACAGATAGAAGCTGCCCAGCCCCAGCAAAATTCCCCACTGGCTGGAAGTTGCGCCCAGGCTGTAGTTGGAAAAGGGGGAGAAGCAACACCAGGGCAGATGCAGTTTTGTAGATGCTGGCCCCAGCACAGCTCTTCACAGGCTGGAAGCTACACCCGTGCCGCAACCAAGGAGCAAGGGGTTGGGAGATACAGCAGCAGCACAGGTGGAGCTCCCAGCTGCATGGCCCCAGCATGGGCACACGCAAAGCCCCCCACCACTGCTGACATCAACAAAATCACCCAGCTGATGTTGGAGCAGAGCTTGGAGGGCAGAGAGAAATGGCAGCAGTATGGGTGCAGTTGGAAGCTACCCAACTTTTCAATGGCCAGCCCTGGTGCAGATCTGGGTGCTGGCACAGGAAAAACCCTTCAGCTCCACAGACTTGATCCAGTGACTCCGCTGGCTGGATCCAGCCCATGGGCCATATTTTGCTGACCCATGCCCTAAAGCAGGGGTTTTCAACCTTTTTAATAAGTGTACCCCCTAGCAGCTCCCTTTTTGATAAGTGTACTTCTGGGAAGGGGGGGTGGCAAGTGGCCGGATGCAGAGCGGGGGCATGGTGAGCAGTGGAGGGGCAGTAGTGCATCATCTGTGCGGCCCTGCTCTTGCCCCACCCCAGCCCTGCTCCTGTGAGGCAGCAGCATGGGGTGGCAGCACTGTCCCCAGCCACCCCCGTGTACCCCCTGGGACCTTGCGTACCCCTGGGGGTAGTTTGAATACGCCTGGTTGATAACACCTGCCCTAAAGCATGCCATAGGTAGAAGCAGGAGAAACTGTGTCTGATTTTAACCTGAAAAGGGACAAACTAAGGACACTTGTGGTAACAGATATACATTGAGACAGTAGCCTAAAGTGCTTCCTTCAGTTGAATTCAGTGGAAATTATCCATCTTGATAGAAAAGGGGAAAAGATAAAGAAACCACGTGGGGCAGAAAAGCAGAGAAAGGACCTTCTCGCATCTATATTTCTAGCCTTAAATCCTGAACTAGACTAGGACAAGTCACTGCCCCTCTGTCTGTTTTCTCTAGTTGCTTTTATCTTTCTTGTTTATTCAGATGATAAACTTGCAGCAGCACAACCAAGCCTTATGTTTTCCATATTTTAACAAAACAAATTTAGTTCGTAGTGAAAGATGCCAGTCTTGTTTCCTTCGTAATTGTAGACAGGGCTATAATTTCAGGTGTCTGGGATTCCATACTGATGTAAGAGAGGAAAAAGATTAATTCTGATTCGCATTTCTATCTTTTGGCTCTGTTACATGCAGACATAGTATAATGGTGCAATGCGGGAGCAACAAGTGTTTGAGGGATACAGGAACTGAAAAGGTGAAGCTAATCTCAATGACAAAAAAGTGACTTTGCAGTGCTGCCAAAACTACTTAAGAGTCCTGTGATGATGTGAAAACTGCAGCTTTTGTCTGCTTTTAAAACAAAACGTTCTAGCTTTCATAATTCAGAGAAAAGCTTGAAAATATGAATCTTAATGGCTTGAGGCAATTAATAAAGAAAATATATTAAAAAAAAAATCCAATGATGACCTGTGGGGTTTCTTGGGTTGGTTTTTTTTTTCTAATTTAGGGTTGACAGTACTGTAGCTCTTAATCTGCAATTTAAGAACTAAGGATTACTCAATGAGACTAAATCATTAAGGTAAGTACCCAAACCTGCCCACCTGATAGCCCCTACAAACAGCAAACTAGAATTTAAGAATGTCAGTCAGTCAGAAATACTGACTTAGACACAGTAGACTGTAGGAGAAACTTCAGCCGCAGGCAGAATAGTCAGAGTCCTAAAGATAAGAGACAAAACCACATTTCACAGGAAAGTGGAGCAGCTCAGAAGCAGCAGCAGTTCTGTTGTTTCAGGAGAGAGAGTGTCCCTGTCATTTATCAAGAATATCTATCTGGTGAAGACAGGTTAAAGCAGGCGTGGGCAATTATTTCGGGCGGAGGGCCACTTACTGAGTTTTGGCAAGCCATCAAGGGCTGCCTGACAGGCAGCCAGGGGCAGCTAAATATTCATTTTCTACATTTTTTAGGGGCCCCGTGGGCTGGATTCGGCCCGCGAGCCACATTTTGCCCATCCTGGGGTTAAAGTAACAGATTGATCCTGCACCCCCTGCAAAAATATAACACTGCCCAGTCAAAGTCAAGAATATTCTTTTAACGATACCCCATACTAAACTTTGCCAAGGTCCAGGCTTTAAGCTTCCTGTTAGAGATGATTGTGTTTAGAAGATGGACTATGACCCTGTCTAAACCCTATCTGCTACAGGAACAATCTACAGAATAGTTGTGCAGTATTTCAATGGTTTTGCTGTGGGAAGCACTGATCATAGAGGCAGTGGAGATACGAAAACCATGCAAATCCATGGATCCAGCACACGAGCATCACATACAAGATATGCAGGAAAGGTTTCATAATTTCATAGTAGCTAGGGTCAGGAGGGACCTGAACAGATCAAGTAGCCTGACCCCCTGTCACAGGCAGGAATGAATGCTGGGTTCACAAGACCCCAGACAGGTGATGGTCCAACCTCCTCTTGAATTTGTCCAAGGTAGGGGCGAGGACCACTTCCCTGGGAAGTTGGTTCCTTCGAGTAGATGTGATATCTTTTATTAGATGAACTTGTCAGGAGGTGATGTGACTCCACCAGATTGTTGGTTAAGACATTAAGTGACAAGGCTACCCATGACTGGTATTCGGTGATGCAGTGGCGGAGGAATGAGACCTTAACCTGCACTATCATGCGGACAGTGCGTGATCGCTAGTAGCCTAACCCATCAGAAGTTGCCCCTAGAGCGTGACTGGCCAGACCAGCATGCTGAGGCCTCCAGAATGTTCCATCAAGGGGGGACCCTGATTGGCTAGGGAGTCTATAAAGGGGACTGCGCGCCTCAGCGTAGGGTTCCCCAGACACTCCCGAACTCAGGAAGACAGCCTGATCACCTGTCTTGTCTGGACAGACCCCTAGGCCTCTAGCTAGATTCCTAGCATAGGCTACCACAGCTTATAGCTAGACCACGCGCTATCCGGAACGCCCTGTGTGTTGCCCAACTAGGCATCATACTTGTACTGACAGTATTTTCGGCTGCAGTCGACCTTCACAATTACACCTTGCTTGTTACTCGCCGCTAACCCTCCGTTGCTCGGTTTTCTACCTGTACCCAGTCGTCCGTG